GGAGACACTTCTGGTCTCTTTATAATCTCCTCTCCTTCGTCTCGTCTGTCCATCCCTCGCTCCACTCGTCTGCTCGTCCTGTTGGTGAACACAGCTCCTCCTCATGTTCCTCCTCATGTTCCTCCTCATGTTCTCTCATGTTCTCTCATGTTCTCTCATGTTCTCTCATGTTCTCTCATGTTCTCTGATGTTCTTCTCTTTTCACTTTTGTTTCGGGACTGAACTTTGATTGTTTGTGATTCTGATGGAAACTGTGTTAATCCTGGTTTAGACCTGGTTTAGTTCTGGTTTAGTCCTGGTCTGGTCTTGGTTTAGTCCTGGTTTAGTCCTGGTTCAGTCCTGGTTCAGTCCTGGTTCAGTCCTGGTTTAGTCCTGGTTTAGTCCTGGTTCAGTCCTGTTTTAGTCCTGGTTCAGTCCTGGTTTAGTCCTGGTTCAGTCCTGGTTTAGTCCTGGTTTAGTCCTGGTTTAGACCTGGTTTAGTCCTGGTTCAGTCCTGGTCTGGTCTTGGTTTAGTCCTGGTTTAGTCCTGGTCTGGTCCTGGTTTAGTCCTGGTCTGGTCCTGGTTCAGTCCTGGTTTAGTCCTGGTTTAGTCCTGGTCTGGTCCTGGTTTAGTTCTGGTTTAGTCCTGGTCTGGTCCTGGTTTAGTTCTGGTTTAGTCCTGGTTCAGTCCTGGTTCAGTCCTGGTTTAGTCCTGGTTTAGTCCTGGTTCAGTCCTGGTTTAGTCCTGGTTCAGTCCTGGTTTAGTCCTGGTTCAGTCCTGGTTTAGTCCTGGTTTAGTCCTGGTTTAGTCCTGGTTTAGTCCTGGTTCAGTCCTGGTCTGGTCTTGGTTTAGTCCTGGTTTAGTCCTGGTCTGGTCCTGGTTTAGTTCTGGTTTAGTCCTGGTTTAGTCCTGGTCTGGTCCTGGTTTAGTCCTGGTTTAGTCCTGGTCTGGTCCTGGTTTAGTTCTGGTTTAGTCCTGGTTTAGACCTGGTTCAGTCTTGGTCTGGTCTTGGTTTAGTCCTGGTTTAGTCCTGGTTTAGTCCTGGTTCAGTCCTGGTTCAGTCCTGGTTTAGTCCTGGTTTAGACCTGGTTTAGTCCTGGTTCAGTCCTGGTTTAGTCCTGGTTCAGTCCTGGTTTAGTCCTGGTTTAGTCCTGGTTCAGTCCTGGTTTTAGTCCTGGTTTAGTCCTGGTTTAGTCCTGGTTCAGTCCTGGTTTAGTCCTGGTTTAGTCCTGGTTTAGTCCTGGTTCAGTCCTGGTTTAGTCCTGGTTTAGTCCTGGTTCAGTCCTGGTTTAGTCCTGGTTTAGTCCTGGTTCAGTCCTGGTTTAGTCTGGTTTAGTCCTGGTTTAGTCCTGGTTCAGTCCTGGTTTAGTCCTGGTTCAGTCCTGGTTTAGTCCTGGTTAGTCCTGGTTTAGTCCTGGTTTAGTCCTGGTTAGTCCTGGTTTAGTCTGGTTTAGTCCTGGTTTAGTCCTGGTTCAGTCCTGGTTTAGTCCTGGTTTAGTCCTGGTTCAGTCCTGGTTAGTCCTGGTTTAGTCCTGGTTTAGTCCTGGTTTAGTCTGGTTCAGTCCTGGTTTAGTCCTGGTTTAGTCCTGGTTTAGTCCTGGTTCAGTCCTGTTTAGTCCTGGTTAGTCCTGGTTTAGTCCTGGTTTAGTCCTGGTTTAGTCCTGGTTAGTCCTGGTTTCAGTCCTGGTCCTGGTTAGTCCTGGTTTAGTCCTGGTTTAGTCCTGGGTCCTGGTTTAGTCTGGTTCAGTCCTGGTTTAGTCTGGTTTAGTCCTGGTTTAGTCCTGGTTCAGTCCTGGTTTAGTCCTGGTTTAGTCCTGGTTTTAGTCCTGGTTTCAGTCCTGGTTTAGTCCTGGTTAGTCCTGGTTTAGTCCTGGTTCCTGGTTTAGTCTGGTTTAGTCCTGGTCCTGGTTAGTCCTGGTTCAGTCCTGGTTTAGTCCTGGTTCAGTCCTGGTTTAGTCCTGGTTCAGTCCTGGTTTAGTCCTGGTTTAGTCCTGGTTCAGTCCTGGTTTGGTCTCATGATGAACGTGTCGATCTCGTTGACGCTCTTCTCGTCGGTTTCGCCGTTGGAGCGTGGTCTTCTGGCGGTTGCCGTGGCGATGTTCTTCCTGTCGGCGGTGCTGTCGACGTTCCTGAGCGCCGTGATCCGGTCGGACGCCCGTCTGCACCGCCCCGTCTACGTCCTCCTCGCCAACCTGTCCCTGTGCGGCGTGCTGGGCGGCGCCGCGCTCTGCCCCGCCCTCCTGCGCTTCCTGCTGTGGGGGCGGAGTCGCCTGTCGTTGGTCGACTGCCTGGTCCAGATCTTCTTCACCAACGTGTACACGGGCGGCGTCTTCTGCCTGCTCGCCCTCATGGCGTTCGACCGCTACGTGTCCATCTGTCTGCCGCTGCGTTACCACAGCATCGTGACGCCGCCCAGACTCCGCCTCCTGCTGCTCTCGCTCTACGGCTTCCTGTTGGCGGCGGCGGCGGTCCAGGTGTACCTCACGTCTCGCGAGGCCCTGTGCCGCTTCGCCATCGACA